GTAAATTTTCATGATCTTTTGAATTAAACTACTACTATTATTATTATTTAATTTTTAACCAATTTCAATGATTAAACTAAACATAAAATAATATTTCTGATTACAAAAATCATTTTTATATTTTTTAATAGACTTCTCTGAGTTTAGAAAACTTAGAGAGTCAAATCTTATATTTTTGTGATTTTTAATTTATTTAATATAATTATTTTAATGGGAAAATAAGGAAAAATAATTTTTAAGCTTTTAAAATTTATTTTTAACTTAGAAAAATTAGGAAAAATATTTGAATGAGTCACAAATGATCGGAGAATAATTAGGCACATTTTGAAATATTTAATTATTCTTAATTATTTTAAATCCAAAATGTGGCTAAAAAATCAAGTATTTTACCAAAAATAATTTTTATTTTTCCTAAGTGCCTCTAATTACAAGGAACTTAGAAAACCACTTTTCATAATTTTCCCAAGTGTATTTAATTTATTATAATTATTGTTGTACAAAAATACAAGGTTTCTTAGAAAATCAACTTTAGTGCTTAAACTAAGTCAAATAATTTTGAAATTTTTACAGTTGGTAGATATGATTTTTATGAACAATGTGGGAATGATTTTGTCAATTTTTAATATATGTTTAATTTACATAAATTCATGGAAGATATTTACATTTAATTAAGTATAGAAATGTACAAAATAGTTCAAAGCATCACAATATTTTTCCTAGATTTCTTTGACCACAAGAAACTTACTAAATTTATTCTCATAATTTTCCAAGTGATATTTTGATTTATATAATTAAAGTAAGTCAAAATGGTCACCCTAGCTTGAAAATTAGGGTTAGAAGTATAGAGATGATCTCTGAATTTGGAAAAATCATAGAACATTCCCTCTGTGATGAGGAATAAACCCTAAAATTTTCAAACCATGGTGATCACTCCTTAATCATGGAGAGTTAAAATACCTTATAGGTTATTTAATTAATTAAAAATCATATGTTTGTCAAATAATTTTTACTCTTAGTCCACATTATTTTCCTCTGTTCAATGAACAGGAGGGTATTTTACTTTTATTTTTATGATTTTTCTATAAAAAGTTATGAATTTTTAAAGATCTGTCATTTTTTTAATTAAGAAAAACCTTAATTTTCTATTTATCCCAATCACACGCCACGTTATCCTCATCCTCCTCGAGGCGCCACACGTCGTCTCTTGGTTTGGTGTTGCCATCTAACTTGGCAGCCATGAGTCCCGCTGTTCACGCACGAAGACTTCGTCCAACTCGATCTCATCCGCTCATCCAATCACAGTCGATCAGACGGATCTCTATCATCGTCCCCGATAGCAAAAACCCGTGAATCGTCCAACTTTAAACCCTAAGATCTCAGCCTAAACTCAACCAAATCACTTCAAGTTTGTTTCTAAACCTTCATCTACTCAAGACGAGTACATCTATATGGTTACATTGCTTTGAATTGCAAGTTTTCTTCACCAAAAACCAAACCGAGCCCAAAATTAGGGTTAGTGAGCTATACCGTTGCCCAAGAGGTGAGGCCTCGATTGGGTACTTCTGGAAGCTTCAGTGGAGTCTGACAAACCTTATGGATGTGTTTATTTCCTCTGATGAAGGCTCCAAGTATGAGTTCGATCAAAGGGTGGAGCGGCCTTGGTCTAAGGATAGGTTAGAGGGCTCAACATAGGGGGATTTTGATGGGGATCTTCCTTTCTTACTCTGGTGAAGCTCAGGAGCAAATCAATTTGGAGTTTGGGGGTGTTTTTTGAAAGGTTAAATTTTGCCCTGATTTTGAGCTCAAAAATTGAGCTCAAGTGATGGGGAAGAAGTGATGGGGAAGATGGCTTGATGGGGAAGATGGCTAAAGGATGGTTGCAATAGGGTTAGGGAGTCTTGGAGGAGCTCTGGAAAAAGTTTTAACAGAGTTCTCCAAAGAAAATTTTTTTGATCCCCTTTGAAGCCATGGAGGAGGGGTTTAAGTAAAATAGCCTAGGGATGCTTCCCTGGCATCCAATTGGGTGTAATGTGGGGCTGAGGTGGAGGGCTTCAAGATGCTAAACACCAATCAGAGCTAGACACATTGGATGAGTGAAATTACACAGAGCTAGACACATTGGATGAGTGAAATTGGGTTTGAATTTAAGCACAGGGGCTCTCAGTTTTGGCTCCTCCGACGACTAGGGTGGCTGGCCATGGCAGGGGAGGTGCTTAGGTGGCTTAGGAACCTCAATGAACTCTGTTACAACAATTAATTTGGGCTGGTGATAGGTCCAAAGATATCTTTGGCTGAAGAAATTTAGGAAACAAATACCTTGATTTAGGGGGCCTTTGGTCCATGGCTCATCTAGGATGGGTTATATATGGGTTAGCCTGGTCCAAAGGAGAGCTTAGTGGTTGTGGAGTCATCAATTTGGTGGCCTTAGGATGACTAAGTTAATTTTGATACATGGGTCCAATTTGGGTCCAAATGGCCAAAGGTTGGGTTTGGGTTAGGCTAGCCATGACTTTGAGCTTAATTAATTGATCAACATTGTGCAAATGATTGTTATGAAGATTTTTTGTGAAGGATTGAAGGGATTTTGAGTTCAATTGAAAGTTCATTTTGAAGGATTTTGGGATTTTGGTCAATTTGGGAAAGTTGGGCTAGACTTGGGTCTAGATTGGGCTAAGGTTTGGCTAAGTCCAAATTGATGGTTGAGAATGGCCTAAGGGAATGTCATGAAGAGTTTTCAACATCAATTGGGTGCCAATTTTGGGGTTAATGCATTCAATTTGGTGGAATTTGAAGACATAGCCAATTTGGGTCAAATTTGGGTCAAAATTAAATGAAATTGAGGCTTCACCAAGGTCAATTGAAGGTCAAATTTAGTGTGTAGGATTGTTATAAAGAGTTTAGGATTCAAATTGGGGAAATTTGAGTAGGCTATGAGGTTTAATTAAGTGAGATTATGTCATAGGGCTAAAATTGGAGGTTTGACTTAGATCAAAATTGAGCTCAAAGCATGGGTCAATTAGGCTTGGATTTGGTTTGGATTGGTCATATGAAAGGTGAATTTGAGTTTAGAATTGATATTGAGGGGAGTTGGGCCTTTAAAGACAATTTGGGGGTTTTGGTCAGAATGGTCAAATTGGCGTCAATTTAAAGGGATCAAAGTCAACAATTTATGATTGTCCTAGTGCCTTTTTTATGATAATTTTCTTACTAGCTTTTAATAGGCTAGACTCTGATACAACTTCTGTCGCGACTCAATCCGGGATCTTGATATTATAAAGACGGGAACTAATGGTGGGACATATGACAACTATCTAATAGTTTCATTTTGTAAATGAAATGATCTAAAATACAAAAGTCATTCAATTTGATAAAATTTGTACTCACAACAATTCATACAAATATTAAATTTTTACGACTAACAGAAAATAAAAACAAAACTTAATACTTTGCGGCCTGTGCTCTTGCGGCATTTTTGTACAAACTCTTTAGGATTCATATATCCTATAATAATTGTTTCAGTAAAATATTAACAACTTAAGGTGTGAATCAAACAACTCAGTAGACAAAATATTTTTAAATTAAAATAATTCTCATTTTTTAAATATTTTTGAAAAAATGTTTCAAGCATTAAAAAGGCTGTATGCATTAAAAAATACATTAAAAAATATAGTTTTCTATTTGCTTTCATTTATTTATATTATGCTTTTCGCTATTGGGAGTAGGATTATCAAGAGAAGCTTGTCGTTTACGAACAACTCATGTTTTACTCGATAAATAACTCATGTTCAATTCATTCATTAAGCAAGAGAGCCGAACATAAAAAAAAAAAATTGTTTGTTCGTGTTCAACATATTTTGGCTCGAAATTATTAAATTTTTTAAAATAAAATTTATTTATATTATTTTAATATATCTGAGATTTAGGTAGTATAAATGTAATAGATTAAAATTTAGGTGTTAGATATGTAAACAAAAATAAAAAAATAAAAAAAGGGGGAAGGGGAAAGCAGCCAATACTCTGGCCCACGTTTATATTCTTCTAGGTGTTAGAAATGTAAATTCAAAAGATTGGCTAGTATGCAAGTAAATGGCCAAACTAAAAAAAAAAGGAAAAAAAGAGAGAGACGCGGGAACGGGGCGGACGAATCGCCCAAAACGTTTAAAAACAGGATTTTTTTTTTAATCCCAGTGTTTGAAAAATTAGAGTAATTTAAAAACAGAAAAACTAACATGATTTGCGTGAAAGTATTGACTTGAGAGCTGAGTTGGATTTATTTTGAGCCAAATTTGAGCAAATAAACATACAGATTTGAGCTGCTTGAGAACAAATCGAACAATATGAGCAGAACACGAACAAACTCATTACAAGTCTAATTCGAACACGTGTTAATACAAACGAGTCAAACACAAACAAAATCCCAACTCACTCATGTTTGGTTAGTTTACTCCACGAATTGGGAATCACTATCTAAATATATACTTTAAAAAAATATACATCTACATTTTTCAAAGCCACCAAAAAGGAAGTCATCCATTTCTAATTTCATTTTCGCTTCCCTTTCATGCAAGAGTACATCGCTTACCGAGTCAATACCATATAAGGGTGACTTCATATACATGCATATCTCATATTTTATTTCTTTTATTATATTTAATATTAAAGAACATCTACTTTTGTATTTTAAAATGAATAGCGGAAATAATAAAAATTTGTAATTACTCTCAAGTCTCATAAATCAACATGTCAATTATTAAATAAAAATTATAGTACTTTTGAAAAAAAAAAACAGATGTATTTTTTTTTAAACATAAGAGTTTAATTATTTTATGTAAAATAATTTTCAGGAATTAAACATAAGAGTTATCAAAATTATTTTATTATTTTCAATAAAAATAACAAGGAATCGAAAATTTTAACATAATAATTAATAAATAAATAAAAATTCTATATATTCCATTTAAAGTTTCATACCAAAGCCAAAAGTTTCTCCGTTCTGCATTTCGAGTCGGAGCTTTTAGGCTCTCCGTTGAGCGTCTCCCTCACGCGGCTGCTATCTTGTTTCTCTTGGCGTCGCGGCTTCGATTAGGGCAAGGGATCCTTCGGCTGCCTCGCGTTCTCGGCGTCGCCAGCTTCACACGACAAGGTGATTTGCGGCTTTCTCTTCCCTTTCTTCTTCTATCTCTTCTTCTGCGTCATCTTCTATGATTAGGGCACTATTCTTTCTCTCTCTATGTCTCTCTCGCGTGGAGTGAAGGGTTGAGACGAGATAATTACTCGTTAAAGTTTTAGAAGGCGGTGAGGGTGCCGCTCGGACGACCTTCACAGGCGCCTTTAACATGTAATATCATTTTTTGTGTTAGTTTAGTTTTTCTAAAGTTTGAAAGGTTATTATTACAATAGGAATCACGGTAAGTTTAAATGCACTTTGACAAATTACTTGTAAACCTATGTCCTCTATGATTTCACATTGTGGAACGATTACTAGCAAGAGCTTTTTGAGGGCTATTCTGATGACCCTCATGTTGAACATCACTGTCTTATCCACGTTGATCGTAATGACGCCAAAATTGTTCAAATAAGAACATGTTTGAAGCCTAAACTAATCAAACTGGATTGCTAATTGGGTTAGACCTTTTTTCTCCTTCATGGCATGGGAGAGCCTAAACTCATCATGGTGGTTATGACACTTTCCTATCCATGTGTGAGCTTCTTTTATGCTATGTAAGAGAAGAAATGGTGCCTAAATTAATTCGACAATCCAATTTGATTAGTTTAGGAATGAATCCTTTTTCTCCGTTGCGTCCTATTTAGGGTCTGTTTGAGGCAGCTTGTGCGTTTCAGGATAAGCTGATTATACTGAAATGCGGTCCGCCCGCGGGCCGCAGGGGTCAATCCGCGAGACACTTTCCTATCCATGTGTGAGCTTCTTTTATGCTATGTAAGAGAAGAAATGGTGCCTAAATTAATTCGACAATCCAATTTGATTAGTTTAGGAATGAATCCTTTTTCTCCATTGCGTCCTATTTAATGTCTTTTTTTCATTTAATTCTAATAAATGAAGATCATTTTTTATAAAATATGCCCAAGTCTTCCTAGTTCTACCTCTGCCTTTTTTAACATAAGTCAAAATATCTACTTTCCTATTTAGTTGGTTGTTTATATTAAAAAAATCAATAGTTAAAATAATATTTGGTACTAATTGAATATTATGGTGGTGACGAATCTGTCCCGTCCATATGTGTGATCCTCTTTTATGTGATGTAGGAGAAGAAGATAGGGGGTTTGAACCAATTTGTGGTTTGATTAGATTATATCAGGCCAAAAACATGATCTGACTCAGTCTATTTTGATGTCACTGGAATCAGCTCAACAAAACAGTCTTTTCAACCGTAAATTTGTGTCTTTTGATACCCAAAATAAATTTTGATGCTATAATTGGCTCTCTACTCGATCTTTTTGAGTTGATTTAAATGCCTTGGAATGTATCTTTTCAGATGAATACTATTTGATCGTATAGAAATTTCTGTTATCCTATGAGATTTATTTAGTTGGCTGTTAATAAAAAAAATACAATAGTTAAAATAACATTAGTTGCTCAAAGTAAAGTAATATAGACAAACATGAAATTAGGTGCTTTTAGATCTCAGCTATGATTGAGATAATATTAGTGTATTTGTTCAGATTCCCATATCTCTCTCCTCTGAATTTTTTGTTACTTTAGCTCATGTAATCAATACATTATATCTTCTCCATTCACAATATCTTAATACCCAAGCTTCTATGATGCTTCTATCCCTTGAGATGCTCTTTATTTTTCTCTTTTACATGGCCTGTTAATATAGACACCCTGATTCATAATTCTGTAGATGTCTTATCCCATTCTTGCTTGGTGTCCTTGTTGGCCTATCCACACAATTGACATTAGTAGTAGTCTGAATCCATCCCTCCATAGAAGTGAAGCTAGAATTTGGCCAGTGCGACATCACATTGAGCATAAGTGAAAGTGATATCTTTTTCTGTAGATATATAGGGATGGATTTTGAATTGGCTATGTTATAGTTTTCATTGGAAGTAAAATTTACCCTGGCTATTCTTGAATGGAAATGTATAGTCTATATTTGCAGTTGTGTAGAACTCGATACTTTGATCTTCATTAATATTTTCAATATTTTCTATCAGTTCTGTAAAGCTATTAGCTACCTATAAATGATAGCTTGGATAGCTTGAGAAGAAACTTTATGAAATTTTGAATCTCCAAAGTAATATGCCAATTTGATTTTTTTTTTTATTTGTTTTATAGATAAAGCAAAAATTAGTGTTAACTTTATTTGGAGATTTAGGTGAAGTTACAATTAACAGTTGTATGGTTGGCATGCTTTGTCGGAAGATGAGAATAGCGAGATGGAAGATTGGGATGTTTTAAAAATAAAAAAGAAGAAGAAGAAATATGCCAATATGATTGAAAGAAAAATAGGATTCTTTCTTGTTATTGGATTATAAATCTAATAAAAAATCCCATTTCATTTTCTCGCTTTTCCACCTTTTTTTTTCCTTTTCTATCGCCTATTCTCATACACTTATAAAATCCTTCTTCCTTTACTTATCTATGAGATATACATAAAATTCTGAGATATCATATATTCAATATTCTATAGGTCTTGCAATATTCAAATACAAAAAAGAAACAGTAAGAAAGTAGTATAAATGAGATGGAAAAAAGAAGAGAACAAATGAAGTATCAAAAATAGAATATTCCAACAGAGTGCTTCAAAGGGGTGTTGGTTGGTTGGTATTTTCTTAGTATCCCCTTTCTTTCCTTCTTGGATTCGAACTCAAACACATACATAAAAAATGCAGTATGCAATTTAGATGAGAATATATAGATTATTTCCAATTAGTCACTGTGGATGCACAAACAAAGAAAGTTTGTTCAGAACTCAAGAAGACGTGTTTTCATTTGAACCCAAAAAGTACTCTGTCAAGGTAATTGTTCATTGTTTTGTTTATTTTGTTTAGAATAAACAAATACAATTTATGTGCATTCTCGGCTAAAATATGGGCACTCTATTCCATTTTGTTGATCACAAAAATAACAATCGAAAAGAAAATAAGAAGAGTATGGTCACTCTTCAGATACTAAATAGATATGCCAATTTGATTTTTTTTTTTGTTTTATAGATAAATAAATAATTAGTGTTACTTGTTAGTACTCATTTATTAAATTTATTTGGAGATATAGGTGAAGTTACAATTAACAGTTGTAGGCTTGTTTTGTTGGAAGATGAAAATAGGGAGAAGGAAGATTGGGTTGTTTCGATAAAAAAAAAAAGAAAAAGGAAAGTGAAAGTGTTATGTTTATTTTGAAAGTAGTATTCATGGATTGAGTGGATTATTAAGAGCCGTAATTTCATATTTTTATTGAAAAATGATTCTCTATATTTCTTCATATTTTGGATATAGTGTGTGTGGTTGGTAGTCATGTTTCATAATGAAAGGTCAAGGAGAAACAATTAGTTGATATTTCATGATGGTGCTATGTGGCCTCAGGGAATTGGGAAATGCGATTATTACAACTTCAACTATGACCCATCTTAAAATTGCTAATAACTCTAGATTCATGCCTTGCTCAAGTTGTGGTTTAGATACTTATTAATTGTAGCTTATGTGTTTTTAGAGGTGGAAAACCTTTTTCAATGCAAAATATCATTGCAGCTGTTGACACAGCCTACGATATGCTTTTGTTATAGTTTAGTGGGAGGGTTCTACTCATGTTGCAACAAATTAATGAAGTAGCGGGGAGACCTAATGTGTTAAAGGTTAATCAATGAAAAAATTATTTTGTTGATGTATGGTACTCTTCTCTGCTTGATTTTATTGCATTATATATATATAATTCTGAGTTTATTGTTACTTTTTAAGGCAAAAGGCACTTTTTGAGCAACCCCTTAGTTTCGCAAAATTTTGGGGGTTACCACTCACCTTGTTTCCACTTGCAGATGATAATTTAGTCTGGTTCAGCTCAAAGGCTATTGAGCCTGTTTGATGCTTTCCAGGACATTTGATGCCTGATTGAGGATGTTTCACTATCCTTGACTCTCCCCTTCCCCTTTTTAAAACCCTAATCCATTAGCTGTCTCATCTCTACCCTACATTTTTTTCTTGTTTTTTTTGTGGCCATCGCTTGAGATCATTTTTGACCTCTTCTCTTCCTTCGTTAGTGATTTTTCCGCTGCTTTATTCTTCTACGTCTGTTTTCAATTTTCAGTGATGTTTTTAGAGATTCTTTTAAACTTCTGTTAACTTCATTAAATTTCTTATTTGTTATCTTTTGGAGGATGAGATGCATGGACGATATTTGTAAAGCATGCAACAGAGCATTTAATGTATGGTTTTTCTTTATATGATTTGTTGGCTTGTTCTCTGACCTTTCTTAGTTGATTCTTAGAGAAATAAGCGGGGCTTTTTCCAATTGCTGTGACACGTGGCTTACACTGATTTTTTTGTTATTTTTTTCGCTTGTTTGAGTGCTCTTTGCTGGCTTTGTTGCTCTCTAACTGTGTTATATGCATCGAGCAGCTTCATGCGCTCCTTTTGATTTGCATGCTAACTCTGTAGACCATTCAGTTCATTTTCTCTCTATAAGTTTTGAAATTTTATATGTAAATATTGCAACATATATGTAGAAATGTGCAGGTAAATTTGATTTATATTCAGATCTATGGCTTTGCATTTCACCTCTTTTAGTTTCCTCTTTTGTTGTATATTCATGGTTAATTAATAATAACCATTTAGCTGCGTAGAAAGTAGCTGTAGAGTGACCCAATAGTTTATATTTAAATAAAAATCATCATTATGTTCTTTTTTTTGGATTTTTTATGAAGATGTTTTTAAAATATATTCAAACTAAAGTGCCTTGGTATGTTTTTTTTTGTAAATGGTATAATTTTAATAGGTAAGTCGTCCATTTAAATACGTAAAAAATTAAAACAATGGATAAAGTATTTGAAAATAGATAACTTTGAATTATTAGAACAAAGATTTACAGTGTGTGTGTGCGTTTGCGATATAGATAATGATATGACTTCTAGAGTTAAAGTTGGTAAAGTTTAAGAAGTGCCACATGAAATATTAATGTATGATAAAGTTTTAAAGACAAATTAAAGAATGATTATTTTAGCAAGATTGTTACTGTGACATCTTTTGAGGATATGGTGATTAAAAGTAAACTTAGATGGCTAGGGTTTGCATATCAAAGGATAAAAAATGCGTCCATTATAAATGTTGATAAAATTAGCAGAGATTTAGGAAAGATAAGTAGATTTAAAATTAGCGGAGATTTAGCAATGATGAGTTATTTATAGAAGTTTTGTCTATTAATTACTAGACAACTGGGATTTGCATTGTTTGTATTTTGACTAGTTTTCATGTGATTTGTTAAGCATGTAGGGATATTGAAATATGCATTTGTTTCGATATTTGAATCTGCTCTTCTAGAAGGTGTGCACGGCACATTTTTTAAGTTCTAATGTTTATGCTTACTACTTGTAAAGAGATACCAGTGTTAATCTTTATTATTAATATTTTTCTTTATATTACATTTATATTTTGCTAATTTTGTTGTTTTATTAATTGCCTTGTAATGATTTTTTTCTTCAAAAGCGTATGATGTTTAATACTTATTAGATATTTGCTCGAGTTAATAAAACATCCATTGTTTTTGTGCTTCAGACTTGAAATCAGAAAAAAAAATCGGCTTGGCTTCACTTTTGTTATTCGCAACATTGCGTAAAAAATCCATTCGGAATATTTCTGTAGAATCTGTAATGGTTCGGCCAATTAAGAGGGAGCGTAGCAGCACAGAGACTACTGAGGTTGAGAAAGATGCGAAGTTGCAGGTTAAGACCGAGCAGGGAGCATTGGAGAGAAGAGCTCTGCGGTCACGGTACCTTGCTGTTAAGAATCTCATTAGCAGTATGTTATCCTTCAAGTTTTGTTTTTGGTTTTCCAGGTTGTTCTTTTAATCTCATATTTATTCTTATTATTTGTTGTGTATTATGGGTCTTTGTAGATGAGAGGGATGATATAACTCGTCAAGATTCTAAGCGGTTCAAATCCATTATAACCGAGGTTGAAGCCTTGCATGAAAATGGTATGTTCTTTTCTATTTTATGGCCTTCAATTTTTTCTTATTTATACTGACCTTGGTCCGATATATGTTTTTCATTGAATATCTACTGACCAAAAGGAGAAGAATATTACATACAGTTGTATCCACAAAGAATGTGTCTATAATTTCCTTATGCTTTATGAATAAGCTATGAATAAGCCATTCATTACTATTTTACCCAACAATCTCTCTCCTAATACTGGGACAAGGATTATCAGTTTAGTTTTGTGCGAGCAGTTAATATCTAAATTGTTTCCTCCTAATAGTTGAGATAGCAAGTTTCGGATCACAAATTTAATGTTTAATTCTTTTGAAATCTGTAGTTTCTTATTATTTTAAAGTAGTTTTGTGCATACATATTCACTAAGGAAATAAACAAAGAAAGCTTGTCGAGCCACTTTTTTTTAATACAAAAAATAAAATTTTGTCATAGTGGTCAGTTATAAGCTGTAAATATTATAGTCATGTTGTGAGGTGAATCCAAACATAATCACAAACTATAAGAGGGCACCAAAGTCTCTAAACTTGCCTCAAAGAATGCAAACATAAGTATTATTTATTATCAATGAGTCAATGGAATTTTGTTATGTTGAATGAAAATAATTTGCCAAAAATACTGTTTATAATTGCAAAAAATGAAAAGTGCCTTCAACCGAGACGTTCAATAAAATTCTCAAGGCATGTGCCTCATGTGAAATAATTGGGATATACACCCTAGTTTAGTTAGGCATGCCTCAAGTTGTGCTTTAAGGCATTTTCAGTGAGATAAACCTCAATTTATTATATTATTAGTGTTGGTTTTTAGCTTATAATCTTTTATCCTAATTGTAATATGATTTAGGCCATTAAAAAATGTATAAAACTGCGAAACTCAACGCCCACCCACCCACCTTACCTTCTACTTGGGAGCTACATGCCACATGGAATCCCACCCATGCGAGGTTTCATCATTGTTGCTGTTTGATGCCAAATCTTTCCTGTCACCACTGCTTTATTGTGGTGATGGTGTTACCATTTTCACTATCATCATCACCATCGCTGCCTTAATTGGTAGCCCTTCTTCTTCTTGACTTCTTCTTTTTTCTTCATTTCTCCTTTTTTATTATTGATTTTGAATGGACTTTTCAATTTAGTTTTATTTTAAAATGGTTCAAAGTTTTTGAAAGAGCTCAATTGGAAATCTGGCAACAATTGATAATGATCCGGCATGGAAGCTTGGTGTTTTAAGTATAAATTTTAGAAGTTGTGAGGCATACAGTTATTTGAGATATAGTTATTGTGATGAAAGAAGTTGGAGGTGGTATCATAAGAATACAAGATCATTTCATTGACGCTCACAAAAAAAATTTATCATGCACCAATGTAATCAAATAAGCAAAAAAAGAAATTCATGCTTACATGAATATAAATCTCAACATGTTTATCACAAACTTCAAAGGCAATTTGATGATGGGCTTGATTGTCGGTTTTGTTATGATAGTGGGCATTGTGGTAAAGATTCTTCCTTTCCTAGGCCATAAATCTATAATAAAAGTAAATATAAGTCAATATGAAATAGTGGGAAATAAATTGGAGAAGAGAAAGCATCTTTTAATACTCCATTTCTTACATTTTATATATTGATTCAATACTTAAAAAACTTGGGAAGTCACTAATGTATAAGAACGCTTTGACTAATAGCAAGAAGAGAAACGAATCATTTGAATCATTGTTAAGTTTTTACCTTGACGATGAAGCTCTCTTAAAAAACTCTTTACACTCGCAACAACTAGCTTTGCCATTACATGCTTTATTTTAAGCAACATCTTAGAAGCAAGATAATCTTTGGAGGCCATGTTCACCCATACAGTGGTTAAATTGTGCTTGGGAAAAAAAAATGAAGGAAAAGTGAGATTGTTTTGAATGAAATTGCATAGGTGTCACGATATCATGATTACTAGGCCCTTTGTTCATTTAGTAAGTGTGGTTGCTACGGAGAAAAAAAAATGTGATGAATTTCATTTATAATGCTATGAATGAGGCAATAACAAAAGATATTGATGCAGATGAGTGCAGCTACAAGAAAAATTTGGAGATTGTAGATGAGAATAGCTTTAGCTTTAATTGCATTGATATTTGCTTGTAATTAGATATTATTTAAACCTCAATGTCAAAATTATAGAACAAGTTCACCAATCTAGAGATTATATATTTTTTTTTGTACCATTGTATTGATATAATAATTGTTGGTTCAACATAGAGAATGGAAGATTGTTCTCCAACTTGTAGCTTTTGGAAGCAAGGAAAGATTCTTTGGATTACAGTGAGCTAAGGAGACTATAGCCAAACATTCCCTTAGTAGTAATCCTAGTTTCTACGCACTTTTGATGCTTATTTTCTAAGTTTTTCAATTTATATTATGCTCATGATATTTTCTTACTTAAATTTGTTGAGTGATGGATTTAACTAGGAGATCACACTCTTGAATTACAAAGAGTTGTAATAAAAGTGTTTGGTCTTAAATGGTGGTTATCAAGGTGTGAGAAAATTTAAATATTTATAACCAAGTTCATAACAATGAAGGAAATCACTTTAATATCATAAGAATACATCTACTATTTTACATAATTTATAACAAGAGATTTAAATGCAAACATTTGAGAAAAGAAAATTTTGCAGGGATGATGAAGATCTCTTGGCTAGTGATGCTGTCTTATTAGATGATAAATGATTTGTGGAGAATGAAAATGAAGTTTTACTATCACAATTATAAGAGCAATGTCTCAGTTGATCTTTTTTCTTTTTTTTGAAGGAATAGGAAGATCACAAGTTGACAATAAAGTTACGCAAACTGTTGGTATAAAATTTTATGTAATAGAAATTAAAATTCTAAATACAGTTAGAATCATAAATATAGTTTAAATAATATTCTTATTAAATTTTATTTATCAAGAAAGAACAATATGCTAAGGAAGGTTGAGTGGATGTTAGTACAAATGAGGATGTGGAAAGGGAGAAGGCAATTAACTATAATGATAATTTTGATGAAGACCATCAAAGTTATGGGAGCGGGAGAAGCTTTTGAATTCAGAGTTTGTGATCTCAAACTTCTTGCTTATGTTGAAGTGTGAGCGGATCTTTGTTTATTTTAGACTTCATGATTATTATTTAGTATTTTTATCTTTTATGATCTTTCTTTGAGTTTTTATTATCATATTTTGATTATTTTTTTATGAACTTACTTTGATGTCTTACTTTGTTATTATTATAATACTTTTTATTTCATAATACTCATTATTTTAATTGTTTAAATTTGAAGCTTATGCCTCAAAATCCCTTGAGCTATACGTCTAGCCTTACGAAAAGAAAATGCTTTAATACTTGATGACACTATTTCAAGCCTTGGCCAAAATGTAATAGCATATCTTACTAATATGAGCTGCATAATTCTTAAGTTCATTTAAGCATCAACACAAATGCATTGCACTTTATCATAAGATTGTTGCTGCCATAGACAAAAGAAAGAATCTATGGAGTTTAGTATTAATTCAGATTTCAGCTTATGGTGTAGTTCCTTTGTGTTAAGAGTAATTGTATCCTATTGGTTGATAAAGCAATTGTGTTCGACCCTTGATGCACCGACGTTGTGCTACAAATGGGTGTGCAGTGCCAACACGCATTGGACACACTAGAACATGCACATACTTAAAAATTACATTTAAATTTTATAAATAGTAATAAAATGTATAATAAAGTGTTATATTTTGATGATTTATATTTTACCAAATAGCTAATGTTTATTTTATGTATGCGATGCTCTAAAAATTATTGATGATCATATTTCTTTAATTTTTGTTAAATTTTGATTACTTATTATTTTTTTTGTACTTAATACTTTATAATTGTTTCTTTTTCTTTGCCAAGAATCTTGATAGAAAAATATGATTATTTTTTTATTCTTAATAGTGTAAGATTTTTTATTTATTTCATGTTTATTTAATTTATGCATAAGTATATATTATTTTAAAACAAAGACACATACACATTATATTGTTGTATCATAGTCATGGCTGTGTATTATATTTTCAAAAATAGACATCCTGTATCTATATCGTATGGTGTTCGTGTCCCCGTGTTTGTACTAATGCATCTTAGGTTTGACCTATTGCCAGAGTTTAAAATTAATTACATGTGATGCGCTATTGCCAATTTTGATGGCATAAATATTTTTGCAGGAAAACATGACCACTGAAAATCTTTCTGCTTTAGTGTGTTATATTTATGATTATTTTCCTGCTAGTATTTTTTCTGCAAAATGCCCCATCTGGCCATCTCATTGCTTGAGCAGTGCTTTAGTTGAATACAATGTAATTAACACCACCTCCTTGCTACTCTTCTTTTATTACTTCTTAATTTATTTTCATTGCATTGCAGTGAAAAAGCCTAGGGAACAAGTGGCTGATGCAGAGACTTTACTGGACATAGCAAGCACACTGGCAATATCAGTTAGATCTCAGAACAATGAGGGAGTGACACCATCAGATTTAGTTACTGCAATACTAAAGAAATTTGGTTGTCAAGAACATAGAGCGCAGGTTGATAATTCTCAAAACATGGTTTCTTGGGAAGATATTGGTCTTTCTTTATCGCATATTTTCACACCAGTTCCTGGATGCTGCACAATGTATGGCTTATTAACTCTTATAGCCTGCATTTTCTTATGGAATTTTTTTTATTTGGCTTGAAATAGTTCTTCTATAATTTTCATACCTTGCAAATTGACATTAGGATTGGACCTATGAGTAATGAAATTAAGCAACGGAAGCCTACAGTTTGTCGAAAACGAACTAAGCCAACTGAGAGAACTCGCCCTGAAGAGGTTTGTTGTACCAGTCTAACATTTCTTAATTATGGCCAAACTTTATGCTATTTTTGTGGTAATCTTGAAAGCATCTGTTGTTTTATCCTGAAATTTTCTTTTTTGGGCATTAAAATAAAGGAAAATTTACATAAATAGCACACAATTCTTATGTCTTTTACATATATCACATCAAAATTTTTATATTTACATCATATCACTTGGATGCTTTAAACCCATTCATGAAAGGGTGTATTTCGTTTTTAAAAAGTAGTAATTGTGCTATTTTTGATGTGATGTTAAAGATTTGAGTGCTGTGTGTGTAAATATGAGAGTTAGATGTGAGATATGTAAACACATAAGAATTTTGTGCTTTGTATTTCAATTTCCCCTAAAATTAAGCGTCAGCTTAGGCAGAAATACTTGTTTGGTAATTATTCTTGGGGAAGGTTTGGATATTTTCTCGTTCTAAAAGATTTTTGCAATGTTGATGAACTTTTTTTGTTCTCTGCAGATTGATTCTAAAGAGCAAGGAACAAAAACTGACACTGATAGTAATATGGCAACAATGTTTGACATTTTGAAAAAGAAAAGAAGGGTTCGTCTTGAAAATTTACTGTTCAATAGGTTTTCCTTTGCGCAAACTGTGGAGAACCTTTTTGCATTGTCCTTTCTGGTTAAGGATGGGAGAGCTGAAATCACAGTGGATGACTCTGGATTTCATCTTGTTTGTAAGTATAGTTTATTTTTCTTAGGTTTATTATATATATTCTTGTCTGAATGGCCTTTGTTATTTACTTCGACAGCTCCAAAAAATGCCCCCACCGCATCTGCGGTGGCCTCTGGAGTGGTCTCCTACCATCATTTTGTTTTCAGATTTGATTACAAGGACTGGAAGGTAGTGTATCATTCTCCCTTGCATTTTTAGTTGCACTTGCTTATAGGATATGATGACCTACAACAGATGCTCTTATATAATAAACTAATTACATTATACTGCACTGTGAAAGTACAAAATATTAATCTAGGATTTTTTTTAATTAGAAGGGAAGTGAGTCATGCTCATTTATTCTTCATTCGGTTTATATAGGTAATATTTTATAGATTTTCAAATTCCCAATTAGACCTTGAGGTGCAGACTTCTGTATCCTAACTTTTTCAACACATTTGAACCTTCTGTTTGGATATAATGTTTCCTCTCTAACTAAAATCATACTGAACTTTCTCTTCAGTCAAAATGCGGTGGATGGTTTGATCTTTTAGTTATAAATCAATGTGCACTTCTAGTATTTAATGATTAAGCATTAATTTCAAATGCATAAAGGAAACAACACATTTAGTATGTGACAAAAAAAAAAGCAATGCTTCGATATTTTTCATTCCAAAGATCTATATTGAATATTGTATGAAGGAAACTTATAATAGATTACAGTTATAACCACACGCATAGTTCTATGTTTACTGGCACCAAATAAGGGCATTAATTTTATTGCTCCCAGCAGAGATTGATTATTTTGTGCCAATAATAAATGCCAGTAAATATAGAACTGCGTTTGTGGTTCTAACTATAAGCAGTTATATAGTTTCCTTCATACAATATTCAAAATAGATATTTGCAATTACAGAAAAATATCGGAAGTATTGCTTATTTTTTGGTCACATAGTAAATGTGCTGTTTTCTTTATGGATTTGAATTTATTGCTTAATCATTAAATACTATAAGTGGACATTGATTTATAACTAAAACGTCAAACCTTCCACTGCATTTTTACTGAAGAGAAAGTTCAGCGTGATTTTAATTATAGTAGAAACATTATATCTAAACAGTTCAAATGTGTTGAACAAGTTAGGATACAGAAATTTGCACCTCAAGGTCTAATAGGGAATTTGAAAATTCTTTAAAACATTAAATATGAAAACCGAATGAAAAATAAATGAGCATGACTCACTTCCCTTCCAATTAAAGGAACATATATTGATTTATATCTTGTACTTTCACAATGCGGCATCATGTAATTAGTTTATTATATAAGATGTAGGTTATCATATGTCGTAAACATGATTGTCAAAAAAAGTTTGATTGTTCATAAATAATACGTTTATTATTCCATAAGCAGCTCGATCTTGTCCATTTTAAAAGCAAATGAAAATACAAGCTCTGTTCATAACAAACACAAAATACCACTGAATTCCCATGTATTTACATATCCAATACTTACATTGACAAACACAAAATACCACTGAATTCCCATGTATTTATATATCCAATATATTTTACTTACATTGTTTTTACATACATATCACCTTAGTTCTGCATGACAATGTGTATTTCTCTTTTTAAAATTTAAAATGGTGGCATTTTATATGTGATATGAAAGATTTGGGTGTATATAAATGTAAAAAAAATGTGAAAAAGCAAAGTTTTGGTGCTGGATATGTAAATACATAGGTATTGGGTGGTATGTAAAATGCCCCTAAATGAGCAAGAAGCAACTGAACCCAATCTTCCCTGGGAATTGCAAAACTTTCTAAACATGAACCTTACCTTTTAATTAACAAGCCAAGCCAAAAGTTAAGGATTATCAAAATGAAACCAATTACAATTTATAGCTTTCTTTCATATACATTTCATTTCCTGATTTACAGGCCATGATGAATGTTGTGAGACCTGGGGAAGAACTAATGCCCCATAGGAACCCTTCGAACGAGTTCTCTCAACCTGATACATCTTTTACGGATAACAAAGCCAATACTGCAACTTGCTCTACACAACCCGACGCACATACGACACCAATCAGAAAGCTGACTCGAAATCGAGGCCTTATCATACAAGAAGACTCGATTGTAGAGGACTCATTGGAGAAAGAACCTCTTTGCAAAAAGACCAGCCCTTCTCTCAAAGGAAAACGCCTCATCGATTTCTGATTCTGACGTAGGTGCTTAAACCATCAGCTGATGATATTTTAGCATATAGAATTTTGTCTTTGTTTGGTAGTTTGTCGACTTCTAACTATGGAGCTATGCATGAGGTATTGAGCCATTGGCAGGGAAGTTGTAGGAGATGTATTCACAATGCTAATTTAAATGTTCATTTTTTATTGAAAGAATACATATATTTTTGGGGGTATTAAGTTTGGATGGCTATGAAATGTAAATATTTATTGGCAGTTAATTATTATTTTGTCGCATTTGGTGTGGGTGTGGGTGACGTTATGTTGCTATTATCTGGTAGGTATTTTATATATAGAAGAATTGAGGAGGCGACTAAAAGTTGGCTTTCAAAATCAGTTTATTTGGTCTGTGTATTAACAGCCCTAAACTGAATGTTTGGAGATGGAGATTAAAATATTGCCTCTCAAAAGAACTAAATTGGAGATTGAACGTTTTATAAAAACTGCTGACAATTTTATATTGTGAGGGATCATTTGGAAGAACTTAATTGTAGCAATAAATTTAAATTTTTTAATCACCTGTACACATTATATTTTTTATGGTAATAAAAGTAAGAGAATATAATTAACAAATATTATTTTCATTAAAAGTATATTAAAAGAAGTAATTACAGATATACTAATAATATTTGAGCTCAGATCATAATCACCAACCCTAGCCGTTCAAACATTAAAGGAAGAGAGATTGTAAGGGTATCCAACCAGGAAGTAAACAATATTATATTTTTTAGAATTAATTAGCTTTTTTTTTTTTGAAAATAGAAAAGATAAAGACAAGTTTTTCTACAAATGATGAGCAGATAAATTGCAGCAATTGTCAGCAATTAATCAACAATAGTGCGCTTAAAACCTTGGTTGACACAAATCTTAAATGGAATCAGCACAGAATTCCCAGTGAACAAACACTAGACAATTATGAAAAACCCCCTTTAAAATTGCAATGAACCAAACAGCTCTAGGCTTCCGACTTTAAATTTGTATTTGACATCTTTCCCAGCTAACAAGAAGGGCTTTCATCCCCTTCATACTCAGGAGTCTAATTTTCTTCAGCTTTATATATTTTTTTGCTGGGAATTGAATTTTTGGAACTGAATATTTTTCTTTAAAATAATTAAATCTCCATTTGAATAATTCTCCACTGAAAACAACACTATTAAGAAACTAGAGGAAACGATATACATACATGCCCCTCACTTCCTATGTATTTACATATCTAAACACCTAACCCTCAATTTTTACATGCATACCATTTACCTATCCATAAAAAGTTGTTTCACTTTTTAAAAATTAAAATAGTGGCATTTTTTTATGTCAAATGAAAGATTTGGGTGGTATAAATTTAAATCAAACTTTCGGTGTTTGATATATTAATAAATAGGAACTGGGAGGTATGCATGTAAATGCCACCAAAAAAATAAAAAATATATACAAAAAAAACTTTACCCACGAGTCTAATGTTCCGAACCAACATTAGAAAATTCTACAGTTTCAATGAACATATCTATATGGTTAAAAAGAGTAAAGAAATAACATGAAGTGTAATCTACAAGAGCCTGCTAAAATAAACAACAAATTTTCCCCATCATCGCAGACAAGTACAATTAAGAGACTCCATTAATTGAATTGGTAAATATATACTTTTCATGTAAAAAACCACCATTAGAAACATGCAAATGGAAATTTACCAGCATCACCTTCCAACATACCTCTAATACAAATCCGCACAGAAATTCTGAAGAAGTCTTTTATCCGCTGCACTACCTCCATGTCGAACCCCCCAATCTAATAACCTCTTCAGAACTCGTATCCCTCGAGTGCTTATACTCGTTTCCATTTCCCTTCGTGCCACTCGCATCACCATACAGATCCTTCAACTTCGCTAAATTGCTCGAGACAGAAGCCGCCTTATCCTTACTCACATCCCGAAGGCGATCTAAGCTGCGGCTTCTGCTCCGACTGTGTCGAGATCCTCCTCGGTGGTGACTAGAATCCCGTCCACTCCTTTCATAATCCCTTCTACTACCATCTCTTGCAGAATGCCTTGATCTATACGAGTCCCTATCTTGGACGTCTCGATCACTATGACTGTCATGGTCGTGCCTTCTATCCCTATCCCTACCTCGGTCCCGATCCCGATCTCGATCACGGTCGTGAGGGCGATCTCTGTCGGAATGGTGACGATCAGGTCCTTCACGACTGTGGCTGCGACGGTGCCCGGGGGATGACCTCGGTTCCACGCTGTGGTTTCTATCACGGGGCGGCGTTATGGTCCTCCTAATTGGGGAGGCGTCCCTGGTAGATGCACGATGAGGAGCTCGTTGTCCGAATGACACGGAGAGAGCAGCTTTCACGGAAGGTGGGCGACGAGCAGTGTCATCCCAGCCATGACGACTGGAATCGCCGGTGACGCCAGAATGCTTGGTTGGGAGCTTGAGTTTCTCAAGATTGCTGGTGATTTGACGGAGGACAGGAACCGGGACCCGAGGGAAAAGTGTGTCAAAATAATACTGCACCACAGAAAGGAATGGCTGAAGTTATATCTTGACCAAAATTTATTAGTCTTATCTTTACTGCAAAGCAAAACAAAAGATACGGAGAGAGGACCAAGAAGATAATAGGATTTCTCTGATTTTATGGAAAAAAATATACATGCATACCACTCAATTCCCATGTATCTATGTATCTAACATCTAAACTTCAACTTTTAGATACATGCCACCTTACCTATGTATAAATAAGCGCATTTCACTTTTTGAAAGTCAAAATGGTGGAATTTTTTATGTGATATGAATAATTTGGGAGGTATAAACATAAAAACTAAGGTCTAGATGTTAGATATGTAAATACATAAGAATTAGGTGGTATGTGTGTAAGTGCCACTATGAAGTTAGTACATGGTTCTCAAGTAACAAGCTTGTGCACCAAAAAAAAAAAAAAACAGGTGAAAGAAATACAACTAGACCGAAGGTCACTGAACATAATCCAGATTCAATGAGAATCAAGCTCACTAAGAAAATTGGAGAACAAAAAGATAGGCTAGTCATAGTATATAGGGTCACATTCAAACTACTGAGTTCTCTCAACAAATGCTTACTAAAAATTAATGAATTCTTACATCAACCAATACAACAAACATTTTTCATTGATAAGTAGTATTTTCTTTGGTTTTTCTTTTTTTTAATAAATGATCCATTTCAAGTATTCTAAAATGCAACAAAGTCGTCCAAAACTCCAGTTTTTGAATTTAACACATGAAGCTAAGTAAAGAGATCCACGCCATCACATGTTCAAAATCTTGCAGCCAGCATTATTTCCGGAAAATAATAAAAATAGGAAAGTAACAAATATGACCCAGAATTTTTGCCTGAAATCAAGCAAAAACCATAAATAGTGATGACTATACTTCATTTCGAGGTCAACATTACAAACCTCTCAATACTAAACTGGAGACAATGATGGCCTCTTCTTTCAAAGCAACCTTCACACGAGAACCCAGGCTCAGAAATAATGCATTTGCATTTTGAATGAGCACAATAAAAGCCATTTCCTAGGCACAGTATTCTGAATGCAGACATATAGAACACGAGCAAGAAGCTGATCAAGTAAAATTTGACTATACTTGCACTTTATAACAGAAAATTAAATTTTCATGTCATATGAAAAACATTAAAAAAAAAATAAAACAGACCTGTCCGAGCAGAAGATCTCGTACATATACCCCCATGGTTGTCATTCGACCATTTGACCCAGGAGAAAATTCCTGCAAGTAAAGAGAAACTTTAGGCGCAGTTAAAAGTAGCATTGAAATATATATATATATATATATATATATATATCTCAATAAAAAGTCTACAGAAGATTCTCCGGAATAAAAAAGATCTGCACCATCTTCAATAACTTTTTTTTAAACTATATTAAATCAGCATGCTAAGCTCTGTCAAAGAAATAGAAGAAAGGCTGCTACCATCCAATTATAAGAATGAACATAGACATCTAACATCTTGAAGAAAAAGTTATTATTATAATAAAGCAATGGTCAAACATATACAGACTTACACTATTATTTAAAATAAGAAAATTAATGTCATAAATTTCTTCAAAGATTGTCCAATGAGAAGTGAATTCATTGTCATCGTAATTAAAATACCTTTCTAACTGAAATAAGCACTGAAATCTTTATAAGAAAATTTGGAGTGAGGATAGATTAAAACCACTTCGGACAATAGGCCATATCAAACCAATTCTGATAATAAAATCCATCCTCACTCCAAATTGTTTTATATGTTTTATTCCCAATCATATAAAAAATCTACATGTAATGATGTAAAAGGAAATCAACAGAGCACTGAAACTGAATCAAGCCTCCTGCAAAGAAGGCTAAAAATGAAATGGTCCTCTGTAAAGGAAAGCAGCCACCGATATAATTCTTACGAGTTGAACATAAACTATTTCAAAACTACAATCAAATTAATTATGGCGCTAATTGACGAATAGCTAACACTGCTGCCGGGCGGATTTGAATATATGTTCAAAAGAAAAAAAAAAGAATGCCCTAAAAGAATTAACACAAATGGCACCTCTTGAAGAAATAATCGTTATTGGAGAAGTTTTAAATGGACATATTGGTAGAGTGGTAGAAGGTTTTATAAGTATTCATGGTAATTATGATTTTGGAGTGACTAATGAATAAGTTAGTCATATTGGGTTTTGATTTAGGTTATGATTTTGTTATTGTTAATATTTAATTTAATAAAAAGATGAGCATATTATAACTTATAACCATAAATCTAAAATATAAATTGATAAATTTTTAATAAAAAATAAATCATCGAGATTGCAAAGATTATATGGTCCAAGTAAAAGTATAAGTACCAACATCGATTATTGATTTTAGATTTTAGATTTTAAAATGAAGAGTTGGAATATGAAAAATACAGCAAAATATTGCCATAGAATTAGATGGACGCACTTAAAAGACAAATAAAATTATTTGTATGAGTGAATTTTAAGATCTTAAGATTTGGGATATTCATGATAAAGCTAATAACATGTGAGAGATAAAATAAATAATATTATTAATCTAGCTACAAAAGATATGCTTGAAGAATCAAAAGAAAAAATATTAATGATAAAAATAATTGGAGATGGAATAATAATGTGCAAGAAAATATAAAAAAATGAGAAGTTTTGTTATAAAAATTATTCTTAAGAGCCTAAGAATAATTTGTGATGTTAAAAATTATATTTTTAGTAATCTTTGCAATAAATTAGAAACTAGAGAGGGTGAAAGATAAACAAAAAGATAAGAAAAGTAAAGATTTAGTTCAAGTGTATTAAGGATAAAAGAAAACTTTTCTTAGATGAGGATATTCAACATAGATATGCGATATATTTTGATAAACTTTTAATGAAGATTGTGAAAATATGATCGATTTTTGTGAACTTGATATCTTAAATAATAACAAAACTTGTTATTTCCACCGACACATTAGTAAAATGAAAGTTTAGAATGCTTTTAAAAATGAAGTGTGAAAAGACAGGACATGATAGTATTCTGATAGAAATGTGAAAATATTTATGAGATCTGAGAATTTCTTGGATTACTAAAATTTTAATATTATTTTAAAAACTAGAAAGATGTCTGATGAGTGGAGAACAAGTCTATTGATTCCTATTCTTAATAATATAGATAATGCAAAAGAGTGTGTGAATTATAATGAAGTTAATATCTCATATATTAAAGTTATGCAAGACAGTGATATTGAACATTAGTTACGACGTGAAAAATTTGTCAAAATCTGTTTGGATTTATGCCAGACAAATATACTATAGAAGTTATACATATATTGAGAGGTTTGATCGAGAAATACAAAAAGAGTAAGAAGGATCAACATATGATTTTTATTGTTTTAGGAAAAAACTTATGATAATGTTCCAAAATAAGTATTTTGGAGAGTTCTAGAAAAGAGAAGTGTTGATATTACTTATATTCAAATCATTAAATATATGTATACTAGAGTTGTTACTTGTGTTCAAACATAGAGAATGATCAAGTATTTTCCAATTTCAGTCATATTACATAAAAGACGATTTTAAGCTCAAATCTTATTGTTTTAGTTATGGATGATCTTACTCGACATTTATAGAAAGATGTACCTTGGTGTGAGCTTTTTGCTGATTATGTTATTATTATGGAGATGATTAGATAGAGAGTTTAGAAAAAACTTGAATTAAGAAAGTCAACTTTAGAGTCGAAAGGCTTTTATTTAAATAGATTTAAACTAAATACAAGGAATGTAATTTTAGTAGTAATAGATCTAGCGACGGGGTCATAACAATGAGTGATAAAGTCATTAGAAGAAGTGAATGTTTTAAATATATCGGGTCTATTGTTCAAAGTGATGGAGATATAAATGGAGATGTTATTAGTAGAATTCAAGTTGAACGGTTGAAGTGGAGTAATGTAGCGGGCCCATCATGTGATAGAAAAGTACTGTTTAAACTTAGAAAATTTTTATAAGATGGAGGTGAGACATGCAATACTTTATGGCACAAAATATTGCTTGCAAAAGAGAAGCATAAAATCAAGCAAATTTTTGCTAAGATGAGAATGCTTAGAAAGAAGAGAGACTTTACCCTTAGAGAAAAAATGCAAAACGAATATATCCGTGAAAGGGTTGGAGCAGCTCCAGTGGCTTACAAGATTAGAGAGTCACCTTAGATGGTTTGATCGCATTAAACGTCAACCATTTGACGACGCGATTAAAAGAGTTGATGTTTTAGATTTGACTTGTGTTGAAAAATATAGAGGGACCTAAAAAAACTTAAGCATGTTATGTAAAAAAATTATCTTAACTTATTAGAATTAAAAGAAAATATGGCTCTCAATAGGACACATAGAGAAAAAAATTTACGTAGCCGACCCCACTTAGTGGGATAACTACTGTAATCGGGGCATGGTTGATAGAAATAAACAATAGGGCATGCCCTTTTGTTGTTGCCATAAAAAATTGCCCATCACAAGAAATCGGATTTTCTTATAACAATTCCATGATTAAGTCAATGAGAGCTGAGAAGCAAGGAGAACTTGACAATGCAATCATCCGTGCAAAATCTCAAGAATGGCTGCTTTTAGATTTTTGAATTTTAAGTGACAAATCCATAATTATGACATTATCCACATTACCATTAAACTTACCCCAACTATTTGCTGTCCACCCTATGAAATAAGTGAAAAACGCATTCTAACATTTCGAAAAGAGCAATTCCAAATTCACAATCTATGAACCATAACAATGTTTGGTTTCTTCTAAGCAGATCTTCCAACATTGACATAAAAGCACGATCATAGAAGAATCAATCATGCAATTAAGCTAAAAAAAATGCGATGGCATAAAAATTACAGCCCACTATGATATTTGTGTGAAGGTTATCACTAACATCATCTGAATCGATATCAGCATCCAGATGTTCCATATCAAAAAAAACATCGTTTTTTTAGGATAATCAATATGAACTAAAACTCTACCTGTCTCCAAGGTGCCTTAATAACACAGATAGATCACCTTTCCACTCAATAACCCCAAATAAAGAAATTAAATAAGATCCACCACTAATTCAATAAAAGTAAACTCAACCTTATTGTTATCATCAATTCAAATACAACAAACAATGAAAAATACAATTTCTAAAACGCAATAATTCCTCTAAAATCTCTCATTTAGGTCCATAACCATGAAAACCACAGAATAATTAAAAATTCCATAAAAATGTTGATCAGCGGAACCGACAAACCATATATTTATTCTCTTGTGAGGAGTCAACTGGCTTCAAATGCTATCAGCATACAATTGTTAATAATTGAATGAAACTATCAGCTGCCTAAATTAAATGATCTATCATCAAGAATGTCATCCACAAGATAGTTCTAAAAAAGAATTCGGTCACAAAATCAGTAGACAGAATAAACTTGGTTTCTCCAAAAATTTGCGTGCTAGTTATTTTGGCAGTTAAGAAGCAAATTTGGTGTCCTGCAAACATAAATAGAAACTCATCCCAATTTATCATTTCTTTTATAGCCTCAATAATAGGCCAAAATTTACTATTTATGTTTTTTTTTTTATTTTGTAGCAATGACAGGCCAAAGTTTAGCCTACTGAACTAAAAAGTGCAAGATATGCAGATCTTAAAAAGCTCACAAGTACTTCTAAACTTGGTTTCCAACACTGAACAAACAATCTAACCAACAATAATCTTTGTGGAAAATGTTATATCTCACTTTTACAATAATCTCTCATAGGAAATGGGTAAACAAAACTTCCATAATACCTTTTTATACTTTCATTACAACCTTCTCTATGAAAAAAAATGTTGCTTGATACAAAATGACCATGTTTGATCTCAGTAAATCCTTACATACATGTCAAGTCCAATCATGAGCATTTGTTATGGTGCCTAAATTAATGTGGCACGCATTTCTTCTACCTAATATATCACCATATCCCTAGAAGTTAATAAAAATATCTCACAATGAGATGCGCCTTACCTTGTCAATAGCATGAGGCCAGTTTAGTTGTGCAAGCAAAATGAGTAAAACCAGTAGAAATAATTATGAAACAATAATATGGATATGAAGTATATACCTCTTCATCTTTTATGTAAGGATCGCACCATCCCCATAATGTCTTTGGGTCAGCAACATATCGCAGATACAAAAAACCAATCTGCACAAAAAGCTATCATGCATCAATTCTCCATTTTGCAACAAACAGATAACCAAAAAAAAAAAAAACAATAAAAAGTTTGTTGTAGTTCAAATAAAAACTGGATTTATAAAACGGGTATGGTGAAATGAAACGTGCTAAAAAAAAAGAAAAAACATGTGCAATGGAACAACACAACAAATGAACTGCAAAAAACTGAAATGTTGTGGATGAAAAAGTTTAAGAAAAAGCATGTGTACAGATTACAAGCTTCAAAGATTAGTTTTTCAACGCAAAGAAACACAAGCAAATACAAGCAACAAATTTCAGGGGCAGCTTGAGATCACCTTTGATTTTTAATTTTTGTTTATTAATCTATTTTGTTTTGTTTATGTTTTCATTTAAAATAAAATATGTTTGGTATAATATAACATGCTTAATTGTTTTTAAAATCATCCAGAATAACTTTTAGATGTATAAGTGTTTTTAAAAAAAAGCTAATTTATTTTTTAAAACAAAAAATCAAAACATGCAAATAAAAAAAGCACTAAACAATTATATTTTAAAAATAAAAGCAATAAAAAAAACATAAGTGATCCAAAATAAGCCATAAGCAAAAAAATATTAAGACATCATATAAAAACAGGTAAAAAGTACGAATCCTCTGCCAAAACAATAAAAACAGAGCAGTCCAAAAACAGAACGGTACAAGCAATGAAGTCTTTATCATACTATACAACATCGAAACAAAGTACTATAGCACATTGTAGCAACTAAACAAATGTGATCATCTCCCAAATATAAAACTGATTAGAAAAAACACACATTCCAGTCTTATCACTCAACAAAAGAATATCACAACTAAAGCAAAAAATTGGTATCTCCATTGAGTATGTTATCTAGCTAATTGAGTTAATGTTGAATAGATTGATCATTCACATAGCAAAAAATTGACAGTGGGAAGCACTTCGTGCAATGAATCGCCAAGCTCATTTCAGTTCATTTTTTATTCAATTTACAGTTTTTCATGTGCACAAATTTGCGAAAAAATACATTATATAGCCTTACTTAGACCAAGCCTTATATGATAACAATGTTTAAAATTGCAAAATTGGGTACGGAGGTGTTTTCCATTCGTGAGACAAGGTGTAAGCCTCAAGGCAATTTGAAATACAAGCCTCACAATTTGAAAATTAAATAAGTCAAAATAAGTAGGTAAAAAATAATATATTAGCATAATAAAAAAGTAACAAATTGCCTTTATATGATCGATTGCTCTTGGTAAGGCTGTAAACGAGTCGAATCAAACTAGAACCGCTCACGGCTTGAGCATGAGCTTGAGCTTGATTAATTAATTGAATTCAAGCTCAAGTTTTATTATATGAGTACGAGTAGGCTCACAAGACGAATTGATTTAATATAAAAGAGAAAAATAATATTAGTTTAAACTAGTGTTATAATAAAATGAACAATTAAAAAATAAATAATAAAAATTTCTTTGATATAAAATGTAAAATATCATTTTTTTAACATTTTTAATACTTTAAAAATTAAGTATTGAATTTTACTTTATTTAAGCACATCTTATATTAATTACTTTTTAAACAAACCTGCTCATGAGCTAACTAGTAGGATTGAGCTTGGCTTGTTAGCTCACCGAACACAGTTCACAAGCCACTTATGGAGCCGAGCCATAGCTGGTTCACGAGTAGACTTGGCTCACTTACACCCCGAGCACATAGTTGTGACATGTTATAAATGGTTTATGCTGCATCCATATTCTGTTTCTAGTTCCAGCCAAATTAGTGATTTAATGAATTAGACTATCTCTAGGAGTTCTTAAATATATCATGCATTGGTTTCAAGGCACCTCTCTATGTACAAAAACAATGTCAATCGGTTGACATCTCTAATCTAGAAGCTCTCTTAGTAACCAAGTAAGTTGCACCAAAAAAATGTGCACTGCAGAATGCTGAGCTTTATTTGAACATGCAGTTTATCAAATAAAAGATTCTATAAGTTAACCATCCATAGGCTAATGAAAAAAAATCAACATTCATTCATTTATGGTTGATTTGCTTACATACCACACAATTCTTATGCATTTATTTAACATTTTAATGTCAAAATCACATCAAAATATATGCTTGCAGAGGTGTGCGTCGCTTTAGAGAAGTTAATAATAGTGCTAATTTTAACGTGAAAAAAAGATTTGATGGTATATAAATAAATAGCAAAGTTCAAGAGTTAGATGTGTAAGTAAATAAGAATTATGCAGCATGCATGCAAACACAAAAGTGGCTGTATCGAAGAACTTACAGCTCTTATATATGGAGAATCAGGATGCTTCAACAGGCCATGCATCTGTTTGACAGTGAGCTTCATAGTAAAGAATTTGTATAAGAGACAAAATGCCGATGATGGCCCCCTACAATTTCCAGTCATCCATGGTTCCACATGATCAACTTGGTTGTAGATCTCATCAATTACCTCGTGGTATGTCTTCAACCTATACAGTTCTTTAAAGTAATCAGAAGAAAGGATGTTCATGCAAAGCACCTTCTCTAGCAAAGTATCAATGGGCTTTCCAGAAGTTTGAATTTCCATTGCTACGAGAAAGTCAAGCAAAAAAATAATCCGCCAAATCTTTACGAGAGATTATAATATAATGTTGTAGGATTGGTGTCAAACTGCAAGCTGATAAGGCATAATGGAGATTCACACATCAGAAAATTCCACCTAAAAAAAGAAAAAAAAATCAAATCTTGGAAGCTGAATTGAAGTCAATTAGCAATACAAATAATAATTAGGAAAAAAATGCTGAGACATAATGATCCAAATCATAAGTTTCAATGTAAATATATTCAAATGCTTTCACACAACACAAAAAATAAGATTTGTTACCTAAAACTGTCTAAAATTGTCAAAATATAGAAACTAGTAAAAGACTAACATATAGTTTAATGCATTCATCACTGACAGAAAAATCAAACTGATCTAAGCATTATCATGAGCAATTAATTTAGTTAATAGTCCACTCCTGTAATACAACTTTATAAATCATTTTGAACTAAACTAATTTCAGTTTGCACGATAAACTTGCTAAAACAGAATTCTCTTATCATAAATTTTGTGTAAGAGTTCAGCATCATTATGCTGATCCAGCAAAGCTATTATTAAGTGGCGCTAATTTTTATTTTCTTTATGGTGCACAAATAAATGGGTATAAGTAAATTCATTAAATACTCTCATTAAACTAATCAAGTTTCTAAACTGATGGTTCTGCGATTGTGCATTCTCACAAAAATGCAAAAAGCTCATTGTTTTCTTGATTATCCAAAACCCATTTACAAATTTTGTAATGATTCCACCAGTAAATTTCAAATTTGTTTTGGCTCTTAGAAGTTCAATTTTTAATTAGAGTTCGCAATTTCACTTTTAGACGCTTGCCCTATTACCAATTTGTTTTGCTGCGCTATTGAGGCAGATAATGAATTACTAGCAAAACTCATGGTCAAAGATTCAGAAAAAAGAAAGCAGGGATAATCTCAGAGGTACTCAAAACCCTAATTCAAACCAATTTTGATAAAAAAGAGGTTTATCCATGGATAACTGAGGCCATTAGGCTCCATATATAAACACCAAAATAAAAAGTTCATACGTGTACCCAAATTACAAAGAGGCTAAAAATTGGAGACGATTTCGAGTTTTGAATTGGTCAGAAAAAACTGCACAATTCAAGTGACAAAAATTCGACCAATGACTGCCATTCAAAGAGGTTCTGGATAAATCAAATCCAACCCTGCAAATGAAGCCAAAAGGAGGATTCAGACACAAGAAAAAGTGAGAAAAAAATTGATAAAACAAAGAAAACCTCAATTTGAATTCCACAAATTGTTCTCTTAGCAGCTCAAATCAAACTGTAATTCCATGGAATATTTAATTAGGACAATTTTATATAAATATGATAAGCATTTTGATAAAAAGCTCAACTTATCAAATAGCTTATCTGGATAAATAAGATTTATTTTATATTTTCTATCTTATGACTAGTTTTGAAATTTCATCAATTTTCATTTTCATTATTAGGGAATTCAGTGCTGTAAATATAGCTTCAAATTAGGCATAAAAAAAAATACAAATTCAATTCATTTGGCACCAGTCGCTCTCTTACTACATATTTTTTCCTCCTCTCCTTCAATCCCAGTGGCTACTAGCCCCAAGATGAGTAAAGGTCATCAGTTTCCGCTCCGTTTGAGTTCTACAAATAGGCATTCAGAAGCAAGAATTTAGCACACATCCAATAACAAACCCTGAATATAGAATCATAGGGGGAATCCAAGCCATTAAGGGTCTGTTCAAGAATTTTTTTCACGAATTTGCTTTCAAGATGGTTATCACACTTTGTTAAGCTATAATTTTCTTGTTACTTCTTAAAAATTTATGCGGTGCCAATAATATACAACCAAATTTTCTCAAGTGTGATAGATATAAGAAGGTTAATGTCCCACTTTTCTTAAAAAGGAAAAATTACAACTACCCATAACTAGGGTTGTCAAAACGGCTCGTTGTTCGTGAACAAATCGTGTTCGGCTCGTTCGCTAAGTTAACGAGCCGAACACGAACACCAACAAATATTTGTTTGTTCGTGTTCGACTCGCTTTGACTTGAAATATTACCAATCATATTTGATGAGTAGTATTTTTAAAAAATTAAATTGACTACAAGGCTACAAAGACTTATAATTAATTAAAAATATTAATTAAAAAAATAGAATAAAATTATTAAATTAGATTCAAATAATGTTTTAATATAAACAATAATTTTTAAATATTGCCCGCAATCCATAACATCTTATGACCACATGAATAGGGTCGTCAAAGCGACTCTTTGTTCGTGAACGGCTCGTGTTCGGCTCGCTAAGCAAACGAGTCGAACACGAACACATTTTTTGAGCTCGAAATATAAACAATCGGCTCGTTTACACCCCTACCCATAACAAAGTAAAAAAAATGTTTTTACTATAATTATTTTATAGCTATTTTTACAGCCAGCTCTAGTCACCTCAAACAAATCCTAACTTATTGTTCTCTCCTGTGTTCTGATGTTAGTGAATTCCTAAATTGCTCAAGGCCAAATTCAAAAGAAAACAAAGGACAGCAGAAAAACATAAGAGGAAAATTAAGTGGAACCATTGCACGCAAGCAAATCTACTTAACACTTCTTTTGTTAATCCACTACATGGCAATCACTTTTCCTTGATTATGGTATCATTATCATCTAAGATGATTACTGCATTTGATCCCCATATTAAAACTCTAGATCTATGCAAGTTTTGAAAAAAAACAAAAAAACCTGAAAAAATTTTATGAACTCCACAACATTCTTAAATCAATTTCATATCAAAATCTAATTGTATTATAATGTCAGGGTGATTATGGATCAGGTTAGTATTATAACACAAATATGACAACCATAAGATCCCATATCATATGGAATCTAAATAAATACGAAAAATTTATAAAAATCTCTTAAGACCAAATTTTTATCAAATATTTTCACTTGATCCACTGTAAGGAGAATAAATTTCCTAAGGCACGGTAGAGCTCATAAAAATAGAACGAGTACTCAAGTGAACCACAATATAAGTACCCAAGATTACAACAAAAGGTTCACACAAGATCTGGTAAGTACCCATGAGAAGGATTTATGTACTTTGAAGGGCCGAGTTGATATGATGGGACAAAGGAGATATAACTAATTAGAAGATGAAGATGAGTTGCACTTAAGTAGTAATAAAGTAAAGAAAATAAAGTGAAATCACTATCAATCCAATTTTGTAAGCACCAAAATTCTTTAAAGAGGAAGGAAGTTAAAGTTGAAGAAAATTGAGTAAAATAAGCTCATGGGACACTTGGGTGTGTCTACAATGGCTATAACTCAAGCAAGGTAGAAACTCACCAAAATAGGCCCTTTAAAGCAAATGAAGTGCAACAACAACACTTTTGGGTGAACTGAGCCTCAGTGATTACCTACAATAGGTCAAAAACACCACAGGGATGACAACTGAGGAAGTTAGATCAACTTCAACTTCATTTGCAGGAATGATTGCTACTATCATAAGATCACTTAAAATAATAGGAATGATTGCTATAGATTGGGTTGAACATATCAAATAATCTAGCTTCATTCCATGGGCAAATTGTACCACCAACAAAGCTACTTACAGCATTTTTTGGGTAATCTAATACTTGGATGGTTATGCCAAAATTTTCTTGGTTATTAACTACTAACCATTTGTAGATGTGAATGAGCTTAAAGAGAAAGCTGTAATTCGGAAGGCTCTCATATTCCTGATAAATGATTTAAATAATTCAACTCAACTTAGGGTTTTGTTTGGGGCAGCTACAGCTTATACAGCTTATCCAGATAAGCAACTGATCCAAATAAGTTGTCTGACTGATTGGTTTGTGCGTTTAGAAAATAGCTGATTCTGGAAAAATGATAATTCTGCCCCTGTTTTGGATGAGTTGTTTAACTGTTTGGTTTGTGCGTTTCGTAAACAACTGATTTGCATATTTTTTAGGAAAATGAATAATCTGACACGCAGTTGTAATATTCTCATCAAAATTGCAATGTCTTCTCATTATATATTAATTGAAACTCTTATATGGCAATGCATTGTTTGTAAATGATATCAAGTTATATTAGATTAAATTAATTATAAATTAAATTAAATTAAATTACTAGTATAAAATAAAGAAAAAAATATTATATTAATAATTTACAATCATTTGAATAGTTCATACATTTCATTAATGGTAAACATTAGTTAAGCTTATTCACTTTGATGAAAGACTTAATCTAAAGAAACAATGTACTTCATGGGAAAATATAACAAGAACCCACATGAAAAATTGAATGCCATAGATAGTTATCTGGCAAATTTAAAATGGATTGTGTATCACCAAATGTTTCTTTTTTACCAGTTTACTTCTGAAATATTTGTTATTCCCATATACGTTGCATTAATCTGAGAAATCATGCCGCACCACTAATGGTAAAAAAGAGCATATTTTAATAGGGAAACAACTGAAAACTCCAAAAAAATGTTGGAATGAAAACTCTAGAGTGACTTCTAAGGGGCTCACTATCAATAGAACCAGCAAAATATGGAAAAGATTACAGTGTAATGATTAACAAGTCTATGAATAATGACTACAAATTTGTATAATTAATTCATATGGATATTTTGGACAAAATATAATTGAGAAAATTAGTTAGATTGAGCAAATCAAACAATCATTACCTTGTATGATATCAACATTTTTATGAGTAGAACCCTCTACAGGAGGCAAGCAATTCATGTATCAAACATTGTTTGACATGGTATCAGGTAGCGAGTTTATGACATTCTTTATATGGAATTGAAAGTTCTAGCAATATGGTTTGAACATCCAAGGGATACTGATTTTGCATTCAGCAATACCATTTTATTTAGGTGTATAGAATCATGATTTGTGAAAAATAATTCCTTTATTTTACAGCAAAAAATTCAATCAACATATGTTCACCTTTAGAATCGAAAATAAGTATTTTTTTACGTTGAATGATAGCAAAGTTTCAACATGAATAAGAAATTCTTTAAAGTAAAAGGGAATACTTCAAACTTTTGAAGAAAGAAAATAAATCAAAGTATACTTACTGACCTCTCTAATTAGCATAAAGGAATGGAGATTGAGGCCAAAATAGTGTGAAAACCATATCAATTTTTAGAGGATGACAGACTTTAAAAGATCATCTAGGAGCAGGCTCCTTCAAATTTAAGGCCGTAGGATGCAATCAGGTTTAATCGATCTAGATTTGTTATGAGATCCAAAAAAAAAAACCTCTAAGGAGAGAAGGTTACCTCCCTTCGGCGCAGATTACCTCCTTCGGCACAAAAAAAGGAAATTGCAGTTTAGGGCAGAGAGGAGGTTACCCTTTGTCTCCTTCATCGCAGACGATGTGCTCCGCCTGTTCTCCGAGCAACGTGCGAGAGGAGGAGGTGGGAGGAGGGGGGGGGGGGGGGAGACTCGAGTGTTAGGACAGAGAGTGGGGGCCTTTAATGTAAATCGCTCGAACGAAACGCGGATAGAGGGGTCCTATCCATGATCCACGTTTAATAGAAATAAGGGAACGACGTTTTTAAAAACTCCTCCAAAACGCCATATCCAAACAGTTGGTGGCGTTTTCAAAACGCCACCACTGTAAATAAGCTCCCCCAAACGCACCCTTAGACTTATTGAAGTAAACAAATGAAATGAGGCAACTAATGCCAACAAGCTCTTTACAAGCTTGAAATAATCAAGTGGGTCTATGGTAAACGCCACCACTGTAAATAAGCTCCCCCAAACGCACCTTTAGACTTATTGAAGTAAACAAATGAAATGAGGCAACTAATGCCAACAAGCTCTTTACAAGCTTGAAATAATCAAGTGGGTCTATGGTAAACGCCACCACTGTAAATAAGCTCCCCCAAACGCACCTTTAGACTTATTGAAGTAAACAAATGAAATGAGGCAACTAATGCCAACAAGCTCTTTACAAGCTTGAAATAATCAAGTGGGTCTATGGTATTACCGTGGGACTATAATTCCAGTTTAATAGATCTAAAATAGAAAGCTTGCATAATTTTTCACCCAAATCAGCAAGGCAAAAAAAAATTGTTTATTTCAAAATTTGAAGTACAATTCAAGCCATAAAAATGATCTTTTGCCACTACGTAAGGACGTAGAAAAACTAAAAAAAATCCATATATGAAGTCATACAATGAGGATTTGGCCACAAAAAAGAGAGAAGTTTCTAGCCGACTTTGAGGAATCAAGAGGATATATTGTAATATGGTATTAATTTGGCACTTTAATTCATATTAAATATATCTAAATATAAAATTTACCTAAAATGTTTACCCAAATCAACAAGAAATACAAAAATTAAAGTTTAATCCAAATTTTGAAGTTAAAAGAAAAAAAACTTCTACTGGTCAAGTCATCAAACATGATTTTTCGCCACTATCTAAGGGATGTAGAACAAGTTGAAGTCAATTCAATAAATGAAGCCACACAATTAAAAAAAACATGAAGCCAACAATGAGGATTTGGCCAATAAAAAAAAAGAGAGAGAGAAAGGTTTCTAACTAACTCTAAAGAATAAAGGAATATGACAATTTGAATTCCAAAAATTCTCCCTCCCCCCCCCCCCCCCCCTCCACCCCCATCTTCTTT